ATCGCTCTATCTCGTCCGCACCCTCCGTCCCCCTCTTCCAGCTCCAGGTCCTGCTCTGTGTCCCGGAGCTAGCAACCAACCAGGTACTCGTTTACCTCGCTCCCGACTCGTCTCGTGTGCGCATCGACCCCACCCCGCGCTACATCGTCCTCGAGGCCTGGACGCTCGAGTTCGTCCCATTCCAGGCGGGATCCCATGACAGTGACGATCACATCGACGTCGCGCCGTCTACGATATACAAGCACGGCATCCCGCTCTTCCGCAGCATCTTCACGCTGCTCCGCGTGCTGCCTGCGTGGAAGCTCGCCCGCCGCCTCCGCAGGAGAGTAGGAGGAAACCGGAATGGGAACTTCAGCATTCAGTTGCGCGTGGACAGCCCTGATGGAAGCATTCGTGCGGACGACATTATGAGCTTCGGTGAGTCACAATGCGTCCACTCCTGCACTCATCCCGGCCCCGCGAGAATGATCGCCTAACCGAGGCTTCGAAAACCAGATAACACCCCTGCATCGGTGGCGGCAGTATTGAAGAGCGAGAGACATGTACTGCCCCCAATCACGCACCCCATGGGCGAGCTGGGGGTGTCCGCAACGTACCTCACACACCCCAACTTCCAGCTGGACACACTGGAGTCCCTCCTGTCTTCGCGGTTCCTCTCCGAGGGCCCAGACTTCACTCCCACTCTGATCAAGAACCAGCAGCGGGACAGTATCTCAGGCTCGCCAGGCAGCCTCCCTCTACGCACATCGCTTCCTCGCTCTCCGCCTCGCTCTGTCGCAGATAGATTCGTCATTCCACCATCCACACATACACGCACGACATCGTTCTCATCGACGCAGGGAGCGCGAGCCAGCCCAGCTGGCAGTCCCAGGTTGGGCAATATCCCACTCCCGGTCACACGCAACCTCTCCGGAGCGGGCATGGGCACTTCTGGAGTATCAGACTCGTCTTCGTCTAGACAGGGCGCAGCTTCCATGGGTTCACGAGAGGAAGTTTCTGCACTAGCAGCTCGTGTACGGCGTGAGAGTATGCAGAGCAGGAGCTCGGTACGTGGTCTCATGTACACACCATCCTCTTAAGCTGACTAGCTCGAAGCAGGACGGCATGACGCCTGGCGTGCCCATCCGCCGCACGCCTATCACAACAGTGAATGCGTTCAAGTCGTCTACAATCTCATCTGGATCGCCATCACTGCATTCCCCTTCGCCGTCCCTGCGCCAACATTCGCCACTCTCCACAGGCGGCCCCTCATTACCCTCCCGACCTATGCAGTCGCCTACATCTTCGCGCGTGCCGCCATCGCCCATCGGTGCTGGCAGCAATCTGGCGTCATCCCCGGTGACGCCATTCCGACCATCCCCAACGTTTGCGCCATCGAGTCTGGGTACTGGGCGTTCACCTGCCTCAGGGGAAGGCATTCCCGCTAGTCCTGCATCAGCTGGGCTCCAGGGTTCGCCTCGACAGCAAGGGAGGAGGTACACGAGTAGCTTTGGGCCGCGCGCTGCAGGCGCGACAGGCAGTCGAGAGGCAAGTCCTCGCAGTAGTCCCAGGAGCGCGGCGAAGGAGATGGACAAGGTCCCGGTGAGTTTTCTCTGCGCGCTACGCGCCGCCACATCCGACTGAACGTTTGTCGCTATAGGGCACGTCATATTTGAGCACGCACACGGACGATGACGACATCTCCGCGTTTGTACAGGAGATCGACGCGCGCAAGCCGCTCTTGAGCAGGCGCGACGACTCGCCAGCGCCTAGCCCCTCACCGCACGCGCGCGAGCGGACGATCCGCGAGGTGTCCGAATCGAGCGAGCCCGACACCGCGCCGCTCGTGCGCGCACGCACCATGTCCACGCCCTACCCGATGCTCGCCACCGAATCCGCGGTCGACTCGCGCCTCCGCGAGATGAACGAGACATTCCTCGCGTCCTTGCAGGGGCTCGGAAGCCGCAGGCGCGAGTCTAGCGGGAGTCCGCGCACAGGGTCCTCGACCGAGCGCGGGAGCACCACACGTCGCCCGCTCGACCCGATCTCGTACGCTGGGGGCGCGCGGCGGGAGAGCCCGCTAGAAGGACCGCGCGCGGCCGCAGCCTCGTCGACACCTCCGGTGGAGGTGGGGGTGCCGCCGCCGATGTACGTGCGGCCGAGGCTGGCGTCGACCGGTAGCGCGAGGAGCGGGTTCAGCATCGCGTCGGAGGAGGTGATCGGGCGGATGGACCCCGAGATCGGATCGTCGAGCGACGAGCGGCGGCGGAGTGCGCTCGGGCGCGACTCGTGAACGATGTTGTTATACGCTCAGCTGTGCGGTGGTGTGGTGTGGTGTGATGTAAGCTGGTATGCTGATGTTGATGTGCTCGCGCGCGTGCTGGCGGACGAACGAACGAACTTGGTGCTCGCGCACCACAACGTCCGCGCCATGAGTGGACGGACAGTCCGCTGCGTGCGCTGCAGCGCGAGTACGGCTCTCCTGACTTTCTGTGAATATGATCTCTCCATCCTATGTAGCATGCATGCATCTATCGTTTTTCTCTCCACGGACGTTCGGACGGGCATGCGTCCCGCATTGTTGCATTATTAGCTCGCGCATATACTTATCCTTCGTACGTGCTGTGTTCGCAAGAGTAGATCGTGACAGTACTTACAATCCCTGAATATACCATCACCCCTCTTCTGCATGGAATTGGGAGTCATTCAATAGCGTGAACGTATGATGCATCGCCAAGAAATACTCATACATGGAGGCGAGTGGACCTTACTGATAATACACGAACAACAGAGCGATGTTGACAGCTAGGATGGGCATAGACAAGAGGCAGAGAACGGGGTTTCAAACTAGTGGTGCAGCTCCGTTAGCAATGAGGCAGGTTGTCTGGCTCGAGCGCAGTGCACGTACCCTTCTTATTCCTGCCAGAGATGAACCCGGCCAGGAAATGAATCATCTTCGCTGTTTCCTCACCGACGGGTCGAATCCACTCAGCGGGAAGGGAGAAACCATACTGCGGTGGCTCATGAGCATCTTCGCATGGGGAAGGATCCAGCAGACTCACCGTGCCCGTGTCGCGGAGGTGGACAGAATATGAGAACTTGATGCCGGCCTTGGCGTACATGTAGTCCACGACGTTCCCAGAAGCCCTACACGGTGTTAGCTTTTATCGGGATTGAACCAGTGATGGCGTACTTGTACAGCTGGCGGCATAAGCTTCCCGTCTGAGCAGGATTTCAGCCTTCAGTGCGTACTCATGAAGTGGGTGTATGCGCTCTCACCGTGAATGGCGTCCCATGCACCTGCTTGATGGCATTCACGGCCCCTAGCCCGGCCTCGAGGAGGTCCTCAGCATCCTTCGGTACCTTCTTGCACGAGTAGGAGAAAGGCGTGGACACTGTCAACCCACGTTTCGGCCCAGACCCTCGCCAACACTATGGAAAGCAGGTTACGCACGCATTTGGCCATAGCTGCGGAGATCGATGTACGCCTTGAGCGAAGGGAGAGTCGTTATGAAGTTAGCGATGTTGTTCACTTCCGGGGCTTCGAAGGGACGATGTCCGGGATACCATGGCGAGCAGGGGTCCGCCTCCAGGGCATCCAACGTATCAAGCGTTGACGTCTCGTTCGTGCTGTCGGTGAGGGAGGGAAGTCGGGACTTGGCCTTCCACTTATAACCCTAGCAAATGAGAAAGCTTAATGCCGAGGGTTAACATAGCGCAGGTTAGCGACCTACCCAGTTCCTGTAACAGATTGTTTCTGAGAATGGGGCATGAGTAACGGAGTCAATCGGCTGACCTGTTCATATCGATGCCGACGCATCTCTCGGCCGGGCCGACGATTTGCCTGTTCTTGTACCTGTCGCCACGGTCAAACTCTGCCCAGAGCTGAGCTGCGCCGGAGGACATACCACAGCCGGTCGTTGTCCCATGTGTAGACGTAACCATCCGGGTTGGGCACTGGAATGATATAGAAATCCTGCCAGGGAGTGATCAACTGACCCTGGTCTTTCGCCTCACAAATGCATATTTGCTCACGAAGTAGTCGAGCCAGGAAGACAGTGCGAAGTCTTCAATCGTGTCCGTGACCAATGCATGGGCCAGATACAAGGCAGTGGATGTAGCTATCCACTTCGATGCCAGGTGAGGCGAATCAGCACAACGTGAAGTGGGGCGAGATAGCCTTGCTGACCTCACGAGCGTGCTGCGCACCAGTAATGACGAACCCGGTCTTCTTTGTGGTGGAGGAATGACCCGGTCTTTTCAGTTCATCAGTACCCCTGGAGAGACGCATCGCGATCATCTCCCTATTCTCAGCAGAGTGTCCGAGATTGACGAGTTCCACATTGTTGGGGAACGTGGTCGCCAGTTCTTGCATGAAGTCTTCCACTTCGTATAAGGGATGGTAGACAGAATGATACGTCGAATTGGACAAAGAGCTGAGGTTCCACCCTTTGGAATAAAGATGCAGGTCCTCCGGGTTGTCCAAGGCGATAGATCCTACTTCTGGTATCGAGAGGTCCAGCCTTTGCGCGGCGTCCTCAAAGTAGATATCGACATGAGACGGCCCTATCTGCCAGACTCGGGCATGAACTTCTGCTCCCTATGCAGCGCAAGAACAATAGTCAGCTCAGCTATGGGCAAGAGTGTTGAATATTCAACCTCTGCTATACGCAGCAGACCTTCCATGTCCCAGTCTTGGCTGTGAGTCCTGGGGAGAGCATACCGTCTCAGAACGCCACGGCTTGACTTATTCTGCAATTTGAGGGCAGTCTGTCCATCGTCTGGCAACGACAAGGAGCAGGCTAGGCTGGCACACGACAAGGAAACAAGCCAGCGCCAGAGCATCCTCGCGGTTATGTGCAAGGCTTGAACTCGAAGCTAACCAGATGGCCAGACCTTCTAGGCATCCGGTCCATTTACGGAAGCCGGGCAATGCCGAAGCGGCCCCTCGGTCATGTGCCACTCTGACTTTTTTCACTTCAAAAAATGAGTATATTGCTTTCGCCTTCTTAGGTCAACAACCTTCGATAGCTCAGTTGGAAGAGCGTGGGACTGTAATGGATAACCTAAACCCTCGGGCATCCCAAGGTCGCTGGTTCGAACCCGGCTCGAAGGATTTTTTGCCGAGATTAAAACGAATGATCGTTTTCTCTCCATCCTTGCCATCTTCGAGGCCATGTACATGTGTGGTAGGTGTACTTAACACCTGTGACTATGATACGTAGCCTCCTTCAAACGCAGGTGGGAGGTGAAGCTGGGAGACCGGCCGATTGACTTTGATCGAGAACTCTTAGCATGCTGCTGCGAGAACGTTTCTGCATTCACTGCGTCATATTACGGGGAACCCCTGGTGCGGCTGGATCCTGTACATACAAGGAACACTTTACGAGAGCTACAACGTCTGGAGGTACCGTCGAGGCCGATTGTGCGTTGACAAGAGGTCAAAGCTCAGTCTCAGCAGCTGATGCGCCGGGTAGCGTCAACCGGAAGACCATGAACTGGTTGTCATTGTCCAGACCAGCATTGAACGGCTTGCCCAATGCGACACCTTCCGTGCTGATGAAGTCGTTGTCGGCCTATAGATAAAATAAGCTGCATATTCGGCACAACAAGCGCATTGTGGATGACATACCGCAGTGAACAGGAAGAAGTCGTCCGGGAAGTTTGGATCCAGGCAAGGTGCAAGGGCGAGGGACTCCCACTTCGCGTCGATGAGAGTCTGGTCCGCAGGTTTGCCTGCAGTAACGTTCGTCGTACGCTCCCATTCTCCAGCAAATCAATATCACGACATACCGTTGTGCACACCAAAGCGTGCAAGTTGCGTGTCGTCGATGAAGTCGACGAACGACACGTACGTGCCGGGCGTAATGCTCTTATCGAGCTTCCCCTTCTTAGCAATTGGGTTGCTGGGGTCGTCGAACTTCGTGCCATGGATGTCTGTCGCGTTCGTGATGTCAAGAAGGTCGGCTTGTCTTGTTATAAATGAGTACGCGCACGCAAAGCGGCAGGCTGATGTCTTACTTGAAGGAGGACTTGTCATCGTCCCCACCGTGGCCGTCTCCGTCGCGCGACAGCACGAGAAAGACGCCCTCGCTCACGAAGTGGAGCTCGCTGGCGGCTAGCGTGTTCCCCTTCTTGTTTTGAGGGAGAGGCACGACGAACTCGCCGATCAGACTTGGAGGAACGGCAAGTGGATTCGAGACGTCGAACGCAAGTAGGCGTGTGAACCGAGATGTAGACTTGTCCGAGCCGCCGTCTTGGATCGTTGCGGACTGGAGCAGAGCGTACAACGTGTTGCCAGTGGCGTCCAGGGTCAGGCCCTCAAGGCCTTCGGGCGGAACGCGCATATAGTCAGCCAAGAGGGAGAATCGAGGGGAGGCGCACATACCCTGATTGCCCGCACGCCCCGTGGTCGGGTCGGTGTCGGAGGTGAAGTTCAGAGCGCCTTTCACGAGAGGCAGGATAGCCTCTGGGGGTTGCACGGCCTGGATGAGCTGACCTTCGGGCGACATGAGATAGATGTAGGGCCCGTATTCGTCGCTGACCCAGAACCTACATATGCAATGTGTCCGTGAAGCTTCAACTTCGTCCAATCACAAAGAACTCGCACTCACGTTCCATCAGTATTCAGAGCGAGACCTTCAGAATCGACCGCCAGATGGCCATTCGATGGGGCGATCGGCAGCGGTGGATCCTCGCCTTGCGCGGAACGAACGCCCAGAGCATCCAGGCCGGTAGTCTTTTGTGACTCGCGCTCCGTATAGAGGAGAGTGTCCCGATAGTTGAGTTGCAAGGTGTCAAGCGCATCCTCAAAAACAAGGTCGTCCGCGTCGTAGTACGGCGTCAGAACGAAGTCGATTTGATGCTGTCTGGCCTGGTAATCGATTGTGCCATCGCTACAACACAGGTCATATGCCGTCAGTTGGGTAATCGAATACAAGAAGTCGACCCTACACGTTGAATCCCCTGTCGGGCTGGGCGATGATGGTACCCGTGAATGAACCGTTGGATTGCTGAGCGAATGAGCCTCGCTTGATCGCGATGGCACTGCCAATGCCCCCGATTGTGTCCCCTGCCAGACTATCAGCACACGCATATGTCAACGTTGTACAACTACATACCCGTCGAATCCTTGAAGTTGGACGGTATCAAGCCGAAGGCAACCAGACCCTATGCATCACAGTCGGCATATACTGTACCTTTTAGCTGGTCAGAAATTGCACGCACCTTGTTGGTGTACTGTTTGCCTCCAAGGCTCACATTGACAGCGAACGAAGGGTCAGGTTCTGTACGAGTAGACTGTCGCCGAAGCGGGCGTCCAAGCGAGAGCTCCGCTTGCCAGAGCACAGCCAGAACGGCTAGCGCACGAGCGATCCTGTTCATCCTCGTCCGGGGGATCAGCGGCGACTTCTGCGCAGGCCCTACTTATATACAGCGCGCGCCCCTGCATGGTTCTCAGAGCTTAGGCACCCGTAAATGGAGCTTTTGATGGATGCACGCGATCCGCGCACGTTCGTGTGTACGCGAAGACCATCGCGCCCGGTACTTCCTACGCGGTCGTCGTCTTGTCGTGTGCAGCACGACCGGGGGCGTCACCGCGAGAAGAGTTCTGTTCTACACCATGCACGCGTTAGAGTTGCGAAGTTGGCTACACGTGGTCTCATCGGTCGGGAGAAGCAGGTATTTGGAGCATAGGCGGGAGTACGCCCAGAATTCCGCGGCTATTCCTGACTGTCGGTCGGCGTTAGCGCGGGCAGGGACGAATGCTGTCTCAATGTATGCGTACCATCGTCGTTCTCCACAGTGCAGATGAGCGTTGCGCCGACGTGGAGAGGCTGCGGCCGTCCACCAGACATAGGCGGCAAATTGGCACATGTGCATGTATTACTCTACATGTCTCAAACGCCTCACAGCCGGCATGCTGATAGCACACTCTCGCCTGAATGTCAGTACGAATGCTTTAGATTATCGAGAAGTCGGCTCGAGGACCCTGGTCGTGGTATCGGCGCAACGGAGTTGTTGCAATAAGCGCCCGTTCATGTCGTTTCCTGGCCTCACGCTGTCGCCATACGCGCCGCGCGGTCACTTCACTGCCGACAAGTACTCTTCGGCGCATGAGAATGTGGGTCCCAAATTCACAAGCGCATTGACATTCCAGACTCGACAAGGAGTACAAGTACCCTTGTGACTTCGTGCCGCAGCTTCACCTACCGCTGGGGCTACGTAGTGACTACATGCAGCCATGGCTAGCCATGGGTTGGTGAGCATGGGCGAGGGTGTCGGCCCGGTCCTTCGAGTACCAGGCGAAACGCTGGACACTGGACATATTTATAGGCAAATTATCGTAGATGCTGTGGGAGAGATTGATACGTTGTTGAGCTTCCAGCTGCTTCACGCCTCTTCCCCTTCGAACAATCGCAAGACCCATCATGGCCAACCCGGAGAGTCAGGCTGACCCTTCCCTTGTCCCGCCGCTGGACCCTTCCTTGCTTAGCCTCTCAGATGAGGAGAGGACCTTCCTGCATGCAGTGATCTCGGAGGATGACGAGAAGCTCAAGGAACGGATCTTGGATGTACAGAAACGGTGAGCGAGTTGCCGTAGATCGCTCGAGTTGAACCGGTTGAAGCTAATCAAAAACTCGTCACAGGGCATAGTGAGCATACTCGCTTTCGTTCTCTGAGGTACAGGCGAAGGCTGACCTTGCCATCGGCGTGGTCCGCTTAGTGAACATTACCCGTACCCATGCATCCGTGGTTTCCATTTCGTCAACCTCATGATGTTGCGCAACGCCATATACCCGACTGTGCTCGAGGCTGGTAAGCGCGGCGGCACCCTGTTTTTGGACCTCGGGTGCTGCAGTACGTCGTCCATATGTCATCCCGCCACCGAGCCCTTTACCGAAGCTCTGTTGATGTCTAGTGGGAACGGACGTCCGGAAGTTGGTGTACGACGGCTACCCTGCCTCTCAGGTCCTTGGCTGCGACCTTCGCCCGGAGTATATTCAGCTTGGATATGAGCTGTTTGGGGATGCGGACAAGTGTCGCATCCGGTTCTTCACCTCCGATGTCTTCAAGTTGCCGACTACGGCAGAGCCCACGGATAGCACCGCCGCTCTGCCTGCCTCCGTCAACGACCTTGCGCAGTTGCGCGGCGCGCTGACGCACATCTATACTGGTGCCCTGTTCCACCTCTTCGACAAGGATACGCAGTATGGGCTCGCTGTCCGCCTGATCACTCTCCTCAAGCGACAGCCCGGAGCGATCGTCTTTGGGCGGCACCAAGGCCTCCAGGAGGAGGGCTACATAGATGACCACCTCGGCCGGTACTGAAGCTGCCTCGTCTTCCGCCTTCTGCATGTCTGCTGACGCGTTTCATGCAGTAATCGATACGGCCACTCCGAAACATCCTGGCCCCGGTTGTGGAAGGAGGCTTTCGCCGAAGTGGAAGGCGAAGACCTCGCCGCGCGAGTTGTTGTGCAGGCAAAGCTCCAGGAAGGGTTCGGACGGCAGGTCTTCAATGCTAAGGGCCACACCTATATGCTGTACTGGAGCGTCCAGATCGTATAAATACCATCCGAGAAGAGACATAGGTGATCCGTGTACAACTAGCTGGAAGCTGTAGCGTAGAGTAGCTCAAAATCCTTCCAAGAAATCCTCCTGGAGACGCGACACGAAAGACCAAGAATCGACCGAAGCATTGCCGGCGCAGCCCCGTCTTGTTCAAGGTATGATGACAGCGCGGAACCTCGCCGTCTCTCTGCGATCGAACGCTTCCTGCGCTTTCTCGAGCGGGAAGCGTTCCACCAAGCACTTGACGTTTTTGGCCTTTGCGAAGGCCAGGCAGTCCTCGGCGTCCTTGGGAGAGCCGCAGGGCCAACCCCTGATAGAGAGACGCTTCAAGAGCAACGACACTTGAAGTGAGGTGTGTTAGCCCGAGATGATCTCGGAAAATGTATGGGACTACTCACGAGGAGGGATCCGCATGGGCTCAGGCTCGACGGCGAGGACGAGGAGGGTGCCGTCTACACAGAGCGCCTCGATGAGGTTCTCTGTGACAGAAGCGTTCGGCGCAGTGGACATGATGACCTTCACGCCGCCAAGCTTTTGCAGCTCTTC